TTAACTTGACCAACTTTGAAAACGTACCTTCTCATACCTTTTAGGTCAATATTTTTGTCTGTACCGCTTTGTTTGGTTTATTTTCACTCTGCACCCGTCGAAAATGAAGGGTATGAATGTCTTACTCACATATTCATTTTAGACATCCACATTGTTAAAGCTAATCCACCAAGGGATAAGTATAACCTCGCTTATGCTTTTTTGTTTTTTCATGGGTTGGGTTTTCTTTTGCCTTGGAACGTTTTTATTAACGCTCGCGAGGTATTCTTTCTTCTAATCATAACTCTTACAGTACTTTATTGATTATAAGCTTAATACTACACTCAGTGCAAATGCTGATTACCGGATTAATTTCGTGAATTACGTTGGAATTGCGGCTCAGTTCCCTGGCCTGTGCTTTGCTGCATGGAATACCTTTTACCATGCTGGATCAAGGTATGATATAATATCCTTGCAAATAAGTATAACATGCTTTATTTTGCGTTTTCCTCATCACATTTCTACATATTTCTATTTCTTGCTTAGCTGTATTGATTCTATCTCGTTTAGGATGAGAAGGGGATTGGTACTTGATTCTTCCCATCAACCTGGTTAATGGGTCAAAATTATATGTTGAATTGCTATGGGTCTGTTCCCGCCGAGAGTGTTGATAAGGCATAGGCAAGTTTGAAACTGCAATCCATCCTAGACGCGAACACTATATGGGAAAGTATGGCTATAAGTAATTCAATGAGTCAGTCCTACTCATATCATCGTAGGAAAATTCAACTATCAGTCTCCCTATAATCTGAAAGGAAATAGATTAAATTAATATCATGTATATGCTTTACTGTTAGTCATAACTTTGCTCTCTTTGATGACTTATCGCCTCTGTGCTACCGCTTCAAATATTTTAGGTACAAGGTTGACCTATAATTTATAAATGTCTACTTTTGCCTTGAGGCCTCTAAATTCCTTAGTACCTATCTAATCCTTTCCTGCATCCGGGGATTTATTTTTGCTACATTTAAGTTATTAGTTTATTTTATTCTTTTTATCCGTTTCTTGGTTCTGAAATAGCTGTTTTTTGGGGGGCTTTTGTTTCAAGTGCTTCTAATCCAACATTCCGCTTCGTCGTTGCTATGGTGTTCGAGGTTCTTGTCCTTCTTTTCACAGTGGTTATTGCAATAATTGACACTTCAGAAGGTATATTTTTATATCGTTTTATTTCTTTTCTCTTTTATTTATTCAAATGCACTTTATGAATTCACATCAAGGATCTTAGGGCCTTGGGTTTTGAATATCTTTTATAGCGATTTATTCTGCAAATGACTAACTTTCTTGATTATCTGTCTCACTTTGGCCAACAATTAGTGAAAAATCTTTATTTTTGTGTTTAGTTGCTGAGAGTTTTAATATGAATTGTTTGAGCTGGTTTTTCATGTATTTGGTCAAATTAACTTGTCTTATAATTACTATTGTGCGTGCACCTCTGGCTATTCGCTATAGTGGTCTGGAGCAGGCAATTAAGTGACACCGATTATATGATGGTAATAGGCGGAAAATCCTTATAACATATTTGAATAAAATTAGCTATACGTGTTTCTAGTGGCATTATATTCTTACGCCCAAATT